CACCTGTGACCTACAGGTAACCCAGACCCACCTGTGACCTACAGGTAACCCTGACCCACCTGTGACCTACAGGTAACCCTGACCCACCTGTGACCTACAGGTAACCCTCACTCACTTCAGTTGTTTTAAAATCTGTTTCCTGGATCTGTCCCGGCAGGTGACAGCAGGCTTTAATGATCAGACGAGATGTTACGAAATAAGGAGCGTTTCTGGGATGAAGCGCTACCAACAAGCGTTCATTAATTATGGTTGCCATGACAACCAGCGCCTGCTGTTGGAGTATGGATTTGTGGCCACCAACAACCCTCACAGTGTTGTCTATGTGGAAACAGGTAAACATTCATAGAAAACAAAGACCTAACCTTCCTTGAAGGAAAGCATGTTGGAGGCAACCCTCTGTCTAATGTTGCTCAGCTGTGGCGGCCATCTTGGATTTTGTTGACCCCGATAGTTAAACTGTAGATGTACATCCTTGTGCAACCAGCCAGACACACACACATAATTACCCCTTGATGTTTAGCTCTGTTTGTAAAACATCTGTGTTTTATGTGAATGTTTTAATGAAAATGTTTTAAACTTTACCTTAAAGGTAATGTTTCAAACCTACTACTATTTATTCTAAAATAAAAATATTTTTAAAAGATCATGACTGAAAGTGTTTGACCTAACATTTGATATTCTTTCCTTGTTGCATCTCAGATCTCCTCTGTGATGTTCTGAGAGGTGATAAAAGTTTGGATCAGAAGATCAAGTTTCTCAGAGAGAATCAGTTCCTTCAGTAAGTTTAAGCAGTTTTTGTAATTTAAATTTCTGTTTAAATATGATCTGAAACACTCATTATTTATTCCAGTAGTTAAGTTGAATAACAAATTGTAAACATAATTACCTGTATATAAAAAATAAAGAGAATTTTCCACTTTGTGTTTTCTTGAATTAACTCAGAGTAAATTTCAGCTCAATATACTGAATGTAAAAATACAGTTGATTAGCTAAGGCAGCCATTTTTGAATTGGGTTAATTCAAAATAGTTGTAAACACACAGCCAATAATTACTTTACGAGTTTCATTAAAACATTGATTTCTCAGACTTGTGAAATTAAAAGGTGTTGGGTTAGCAGCTGTGTCAAGTAGCTGGCAACATGATGACACAATGTGTTTTTCTCTGTCAGTAATCTGACTGTGTCCAGTGAAGGTCCCAGCTGGAGGCTGATGACGGCCCTCAGACTGCTGTCTCTGTCACAAACACAGTTGTGAGTTCACTTCTCAGCAGTGTCTGCTCTAAAGACAACACTTTGACTTGTTCTAACATGTTTGTGTTGACAGTCACCTGTGGAAGGCAGCTCTGCTCGGTCAGCTTCTGTGTGAACACACCGAGGAGTGGAGCGTTCACACAGCAAGGACTATATGTCAACAACTGCTTTCTGACACACACACAGCTTTACACAAGGTACAAACACACTTCACACATGGTACACACACAACTTTACACAAGGTACACACACTTCACACATGGTAAGAACAGCTTTACACAAGGTACAAACACACTTTACACATGGTACACACACACTTTAGACATGGTACAAACTGCTTTACACAAGGTACACACACTTTACACAAGGTACACACACTTTACACAAGGTACAAACACACTTTAGACATGGTACAAACAGCTTTACACAAGGTACACACACATTTACCAAAGGTACACACACAGCTTTACAAAATGTACACAGTTATACACAAGGTACACACAACTTCACACATGGTACACACAGCTTTACACAAAGTACTCATGCATAGTTTTACAGGAGGTACACTGACAGCTTTACACAAGGTATATACACATACACACACACATACTGTGTCCATATCCTTGTGGGGACTTTCTATTGACTTCCATTCATTTTTTCGAAATTTTTTATCCTAACCTGACCATTTACCCTAAAACTAACCTAAAGTGGACTGGGCTTTGGTCCCCACGAGGCTGCATTTTCCTGAAAAATTGTCCCCACCAAGTAGCAAAAACAAGGGCACACACACACACACAGCTTTACACACAGTTCTTGTGTGTAGGAATCAGTCTCAGCCACATTCGATTTTAGAGCTAAAGCCATTTTTAGGGTGAGTTGGCTGTGGCAGCCATTTTGAATTGTGTTTATTCCCAAATTAGTTGTAAATGTACAATAATTACTTTGTTTCATTACAATTGTCCAGTGGTCTATGAAATAATTTGGTAAACAGAGGCATTTGGTTTTATATTTGCTGTCACTAATGTAACATATTCACATCATAAATGTTCCCTAACTTCTGTTTCTTTGTGTTCAGATCTCGCTGCTCCTCCACCGCTGTGAGCAGCCAATCAGAGAGCAGCTGGATGTGGTGAGGTTATTACGACAGGAGGAGGGTTCCATTCTTCAGAGCTGTCTTCAAACACTGGAGGGTTCAGTCCAACAAGCCCACACCACACCTGATGTTGGAGCTGTAAGGTGACTCCTGATTGGCCGTCTGTTCTGACTCAATAAGCCCGATGATTGGCTAAACTCTGACCAACGATCAGAGGAGCTCACACAGGACTCAGGTGTTCTCACAGAAAAACTGTGCCAGTTTTTATTCACATGAAAATGACTTTAATCTGATGAGTTTTACAGTCTGCTGTTGTAGTAGCTGAGAGTCATCCTCAGCCCACTCTGAGAGCTAACAGGTCACAAATGTAACATTATTTTAAAGGTAAAGCTACAAGTCGACACAAGATAATCCTAGTTTAAAACTGCAATGCATTCAAGAGATGCTAGCTTTGATATATTTATGTTTTTATACAATTCTTTTATCCAAGACCATGTACTTATAATTGTGTTGTGTTAATCAAACATCAGGTGAGAACTGGCCTGTGTGGTTAAATCTGGGACATCATGAGGAATGATTAAAGTGCTCTGTCCATCTTCATGAATTAATAAAAACACTTTATTCTCAGATTCTTCTTGTCTTTGACATCCAACCATGAAAAAACTGCATGAGCTGATTTATTTCCAGGTTTTATATTTTTATTTGTTGAAAATGTAAAAGTTATTTTTAGACTGAACAGTTTAAAAAAATTAACAACATGCACACAGGGGACTTCCTACTCGTTTTTGTTTTATTAATTTTATCCATTTTAACATTGAATGATTTTTTTAATTAATACTAAGAACTGCAGTTGTCTCCGTTTTGATACTTTGTTTAATGACTCAGTAAAACTTTGCAGAAAATATCAGACTGAAAGACCTGGTCCTGTAGACTCTGCAGACAGTGTGGTCTTACAGATCCTGAACATTCAGATCAGAGCTGAACAACCACCTTTTTCTTCTGGTGACGCTGAACCATCTCCATCGCAACGGTGGCTTCATAGAGAGGAAGTGCTTCCTCAGGCTGTGGTCTGCAGAAACAGACAGGTTGGACATCATTTTTATTAATAGAGCTGATATACAGCCGAAATAATGTGGAGTGTCTGCTGAAGAATCTACAACTGACTTAAAACAACTGGAACACTGGGAAAAACCAGCTAAACTACGGCTAAAAGCTGAACACAGACTAAAAGCAGCTAAAGGCAGCTAAACATGGGTTAAAAGCAGCTAAATACATGCTACAAGCAGCTAAGCACAGGCTACGAGCAACTGAACACCAGCTAAAAGAAGCTAAAGGCAGCTAAACACCAGCTAAAAGAAGCTAAAGGCAGCTAAACACATGCTAAAAGCAGCTAAAGGTGGCTAAACATGGGCTAAAAGCAGCTAAGCACAGGCTAAAGGCAGCTAAACACAGGCTAAAGGCAGCTAAACACATGCTGAGAGCAGCTAAGTGCGGGCTAAAGCAGCTAAACACAGGGTAAAAGAAGCTAAAGACGACTAAACACAGGCTAAAGGCGACTAAACACAGGCTAAAGGCAGCTAAACACAGGCTAAAGGCAGCTAAACACATGCTGAAAGCAGCTAAGTGCAGGCTAAAGCAGCTAAACACAGGGTAAAAGAAGCTAAAGACGACTAAACACAGGCTAAAGGCAGCTAAACACAGGCTAAAGGCAGCTAAACACATGCTAAAGGCAGCTAAGTGCAGGCTAAAGCAGCTAAACACAGGGTAAAAGAAGCTAAAGGCGACTAAACAGGCTAAAGGTAGCTAAACACAGGCTAAAGGCAGCTAAACACAGGCTAAAGGCAGCTAAGTGCAGGCTAAAGCAGCTAAACACAGGGTAAAAGAAGCTAAAG